AAAAGGATTTCTGTAATGCCCTGTAGTGTGTTTTCGAGTGGTTTAGGCTGAATGTGGCCATCTCAATATATGGGTTATACATGGGTTTCAAAATTCATCAATACTATTATAATGAACAGTGATGTAAACATACATATACAAGGAAAAATATTAAAAGTTTATTGGCTTTCGAAGTATCTGCAATTAAAATTTTGCTTTACACGACTGCCTCTCAAGATATCTCTAGTCAGTAGAGGAATATCTCGAGGGTATCATATAGTCCATCAGTTCATTTACAGCTCCCTTTGACTTACTGATCGTTTGACTTTTTTATTTGCGTGAACTCTAGCTGCACCAATGTGGCCTACTGTGCGTGTCCATAAAAAATATCAGAACTATTTGTCGGCTCGCCCGCTATCTTTCTCTCTTTCGCGCTACACTACCCCACCCTTTCGCACTCACCTTGCGCTGCGGAGCGTCCTTGCGGACTATCGTAAAAGGAAATACGTTGCCGAGAATTACTTAAGTCAATGTAGGCAAAGATCATAAAAAAGGCAAAAAGTCCAGAAGAGTTGAGAGTGGCAAACAACATTTTTATTGGGGCAGCCGGAAAATATTAAAAAGAAAATGGAAGGGAAAGGGAATTTTCGTAGCCATTTGGAGTGTACTTGGTAAATTGTTTGAGAAAATAATGAAAAGTGAAATGTCTAATGAAGTCGTAAAGTTCTTTCGACCAGCAAACACGTTGGCATGTGTTTGTATTTTAGTGAGATCGCCCTTTTTGGGGGCATGTTCTTGTGGGTTTCCTGATTTTAGATTTTAGTGCATTGATTAATGGGAAAAGGAAACTAAATTTGGGGTAAAAAGCAACTTTTTTCGAGCACTAAAACATTTTATAGTTTAGGCATATATCTTAAAAGATGGAGATGAAATTAAATTGGTATTCAAGACGAAAGGAGATCGTACAGCAACATTTGTGCAAAGTTTCTCAAATTCATCAGCCCTAGTGGATAATATTTTTGCACCCTTTCAGCAAATATAAATTTTAATGGAAATCCCACCCCAGTTCAGCGGGAGAGTGTGCGTTAATTAAATTTGTCCCTCGTTCTAATCGGCAGCTTAGCATCTCCAAAAATCCGCTCACAATTTTGCTTGAAATTATAGGAAATTCGAACTCAAAATGACTTGGGGTTGGTCTGAAGAGGGCTACTCTGAAAATGAGGAGGGAAAAGGAAAAGCTGCTGCAGTCCGTTCTTGGCGCAAAAATATTCATGATACTTAGCCTCGCAATCCCCTAAGGTTTTTTACATATCTCCGATGGCAACTTCAATTCAGACTTTGCCATTGTTTTGGGTAACATGATGAAGCACCGCATCATCGATGTCGAGGATGACATTCAATGACATTCTTTGATTCTTATTTATGTCCTCACAGAAAATTTCGGTCTGCTATTTTTTTGGTAGAAAAGAACAGAAATCAATTGCGTTGTCTGCCTACCTCGATAAGGAAATATTCGTTAAAAAACATACGATAGAGCAAGGCTAAACAATGGAAATGGTAAGGAACATGCTACGGTACTTTGCTGGCATTTGACACCCCAGAAGTAAGGACATACATTGGCAGGACCCTCAGGTAGTGAGTGCGGAGTCCTGAGATGTATATGCATATGCGAGCTGTTTACCTACCCCCAAAAGTGTACTTTTTTCCGCTTTTTTATGCAATTTTTAGCATGAAAATTTGGGTTTCCTTCTGTTTACTCAGGGGTAGTTAGGAAACTTTCTTCGCTTCGTTTTTTCGGCAGTTTTATAGCGAGTTTCCTTAATTGCGTTCTTTCATTTCCTTACTACTTTGAGTTTACCTAGATCTCGGATTGTGGTTGCTAACGGTTTTGATTTATTTTGCGCCGTTTTCTCGAAAAAACACAAATCGAGGTATTCTTTGTCAGTTTTTCCTCGGGTCCTACATTGCGGAAGTTTCCCACGAGTTTTAAGGTAAAAAATGAATATCTTTTTGCATGCCTCTATCTCTGATTTGGGCAGAGGACAGTTGCCTAATAAGGTATTTGTTTAGGGTAATGACTGTTAAAAGGAGCATTGAAATATCTAGGTATTTGCAATGCGGGGCTTATCGACTTTAGCATGGAAGATAAATGATTGGGATTGTAGGACTTCTTATACGTAATTAGATACTACGCGACATTTAGACGATTGTAATAATTTATAAAACGATTTTCCCACATCCCTACACTCTGCAGTTCTTGAAAACCTTCTTAGCTTCAATTTCCATCGCAATAGTTCTTCGCCACTCACCATTTGGGTCCTGCAATTTCAGACACTGCTCTAAATCTCGCACATCCTTGCTGGCATTGTTCAAGTGGCCATAAAGAGCAACTGCTGCTCCGGTCAGTTCCAGGACCGTATCCTTTTCCTCCGCCTGCTCCTGCTCCCCCTGCTCCTCCTGCTCCTCTTGCTCATCCTGCTCCTCCACTTTCAAATGCAGAGGCGACGGAGCATTGTCGTTGGCAATCTGAGCTGGATGCAGCCGTTCGGCTCCTTTATCCTTTGGCTGCTCAACATATTCATCACACGATTGCAACTTCAATTCGAGCGTTAGCTTCTTGTCCCGCATCCGCCTCGTTCCCTCGTCCTGCTCCGCAAGGGGCGGCGGCGGCGGCGGCGGCGAGGGGGAGTGGCAGGACACCAGAGTGGAGGAGGCGGGCGAGGACGAAAGAAAGGAGCTGCTGTGATTTGCGCTGACATCGCGCATATTTGTGTCAACAGCAGTCAAAGTTCCATCTTTGTGCTCCTCGGAACTCGTTAGGACAGCTTCATTCGGCGGCGTGGCAAGTTGTTGTCCTGGCTCGAATTTAAAGTTGCCAACTGCAAGGAGGGACAGTAGAGGATGGTTATATGGATGTTAAATGGATTTGCAGAGATTTTAGCTCGCTAAGTCAGTAGTTTTTGTCAAAAATGCTTTCGTTTTTCGCCTAGCTATACACGTATGTATATTTACTAAGTTTCAGTAACTACATAAAAGCCCCCTTTAAATCTATGGACTCCATTTTGTTATATATATTTAAATCACTGCCGATGAGCCAATCAGAAGCACAAATCGCTATCTTTGAAAGGGTTGACCTCGGCATTTACATAAGCCTATGGTTATGGAATCACAGCAACCCTTTTTATGACCCAACCCCAGTGGCATTTGAATAAGCTTCGCTCTCTCTGGTGGGCCATAAAAAAGGGGTTGATTTACATAAAAAACGGGCGGGCTGACTTCATTTTAATATTTCCCCCGAGGGTTGATGGGCCAATACGCACACTCCTGACATTATGCTGATAACGTCATATTTCCCTGGCTTCTGGCGTACAGAGAGGGGGGTGTGGGGGACAGCCGGAGGGGGGCTCTTAAAAAAGCAGCCAACCGGGCACATTTCATTGGCTGAATGGCCTCAACTCCGCATGTGGGCCAACAAAAAAGTGCGGGGAATATGAAAAATATTTTCATCGCAAGGCGTTGAAATGTCTCCGGGTAACTGATGCTCGAAATAACGGCAGGACATAGCCATCATGTGTCCGTTGAGTCCTGTTCCTGTTGCTGGGTAATTTCTGTGCTCAGGAATGCCACTAAAAAATGAGTCACATGGATGGGTTTCAAGTGTTCAAGTGTGAAAGTTCTTGGAGGGGGGTTGGCTCTTAAAAGGGAAAGCCTAAGTGTGCAGGAATGTGTGATACCTTCAACAGGGGAGGTTACCCGTAGGACACTGCATTTATGTACGCATTTCTCCAAAGATTATACAAGGCAAATATAAAGATTGAGTGAAAATCGTAGAATAAGCTTAGGCTCTTAGTCATTAGACTTGGGAATGCAATGCCATCTGAAACCTTTTAATCTTGAATTTAGCAATCTCCTTAAACGAGGCTTACCACAGAGATGAATCTTAAGTAACCCACAACAGTGAAATTAGTGCATTTCGCCATCCTCTTTCATTTCCAGGTATTCAATGGCATCCCGTTTTTTATCGCAGAGTATTTAGGAGCGACGATATTTCAGGACTTCAATTTCTCGCTTGGGCAAACAAATCTCCGCCTGTTGCGCAACCTGCATATCTTAGGAAAAGGTAAACTTCTGAGGCCAAGCCGACAGGATTCAATAAGGATAACTGCGACTGCAAACGAATTAGGCGACTGCAGCATTAGGCAGAAGAAAACAAAGACACTGGAATTATTAGATTTTTTACCGTTTGACAGCGCATTTCAATTGCACAATTACGAGGAAGTGGCAGCACCGAGAAAAGGATCCTCCTCGGTCATAAATTTCTGTCAGCTAGCCAAGGATTTTAATTGAGGAGCTATCGCCGCAGAGACCTGCCATCCATCTCGCTTCCTCCACCGCCAGGAGGCCAGGTGCAGCCCGGGAATCAAAGGAGGTGTTGCTGGGGTCCAGAAGGATTCCCTCTGGCGCAGCCAAACAGGAGCAGAGGACGATCCATCGTCGTGGGAACTGCACATTGCGCAAAGGACAATGCCTTCAGCTCAGCTAACCAAGTGCAATTTGGCTTTTGTCCCCTGGCAACTGCAACACACCCGCTGCGTATTTCGGCACACAAAGTGTAACTGTAACACTGGCCGGGAAAATGATGAAGAACCCGATTCCAGACAATGGCAAATCTGGAGAATCGGGAAATGATGATCACTACACCATTGTGATCATTGGCTACGCACCAAAAGCAAGCGAAACAAAACGGCGGCACAATGCGCAAACTGATTATTGTTGCGACTTTTGCTCTTTTGTGTCTGCGAAACGTGAATTTATTGCTTCTTCTTTTGCGACTTTTTATAGGGTTTCTAACCTTAGTATTATAATATCGGGAGGGATTTTAGAAACAGCGCAGTGGGTAACCTGCTGACCATCTTCATGTGCTCTTTCCAATTACTCAAAGCAAAACTTTTCAAGTTTTTCACTGTTTTTAGGATGATTTAAATGTGTGATTATTTCAGATTTAAGTAGGCAACTGAGGTGTCAGTCAAGGATTTGTTCAGTCATCACAAAAAAAGAATTTCCGGTAGCTATCGATTCTGTTCTTCTTTAAAAAAAAACCACACTATTTCACTGCATTAAGATGTTAGATAAAATGCAAATGAGTCTGGAAGACATCATCAAGTTGAACAAAGTTCACCGCGCTCAAAAGCAAGGAGTTCAAAGAGGATCGACGAGAAAACCAAACTCAAAAGGCGGATTGAAAGGTATTCTAAGGCCCCGAAACGGAACTGGATACATTCATAAGGCCAAGTTCAATCGGGAAAACGCTTTAAGGCCACCAAAAAAACACACTTTTCTGATGGTTTGCAATTTGAACTACGCACTGAATGACGACGACATCATGGAGCTGTTCAATGAAAACGGTCTGGTGGAGAAGGGGTTCGTCCACTACGATCGCGATGGCAACTCATTGGGCACCGCTCAATTGATGTGTAGATATCGCGCTGATGCCATGATGATCATCAGGCAGTTCCACGGCGTTCATGTTGACGGACGCCGATTGAAAATACATCTCATTCAAAAGACACGCAACTGCAAGCGTCCTGTCCAGAATCATTACTACCAGTCTCGTCCTGTCCAGCCGGGTTTCTTCAGGACACTGTCATTCTCGACTCGTCCTCTCGAGCGCAACTCTATCCAAGTGGATTCATCGACCTGCGAGAGCCGCGAATCTTCTCCCCATATTTTGCCGAAGACCCATCGAGGAACCTATCGGACTTCTGGGGTGCGGTACTACAAACGCACCTAGACCACATGTCGATTTAAATCATTCAAGCAGATTCTTTGAAATCATAATCATTCTGCATAAAAATATATACAGAAATAATGTTTTTATCCAGTAATACCACTCTTGCTACGGATCGTGGCATTGCTGGCTTTTAAGAATCTTTATAAATTTGTATGGAGTAACATTGTTCAAACTATAATAAATATAGCCCTTCTATGGTATTCATAAATTTTATATTTATTCTTAGCAAGTTCAAAGAATTGCTTGAAGAATTGTTTGAAAAGCCAAACAGTTCAACTGATTTTCTCATTTATGATGTTTCCCTTTTAAATTAATTTAAATTATGTTTAGTATGCTTTACTATATGATCTCTATGTTGTCATATGCTATACGTTTCTCTTTTGGTTTTGGAGCACGCCCAATGCATGTAAGCACATAAAGTACACTGGCAGCAATTCGTAGGAGCTTCGCTCGCATTTAAATAACGGCGCGCTCTGGTTAATGCGCAGTTGGCACGCAACTATCTACCTATCAATCTTTTTTTGCATACACTGAGCACAATTAGCGCTTAGAGGTGCGTTCGTACCGCCGTCCCTCGCTTTTGACGCCCCCGCTTTTACACGCCTTTCTACACTTCGCTGCTTGTTTGCATAAATTTCGTGCCAGGCACCTGTGGAGGCCCCCTCTCACTCTTACTGTCCGTCTCTTTCTCGCTGCCGCACTTTGCATGTGCAGCCGCTCGAGACGCGCGAGTCTTGCCTCTCTTTCGCGCACGCGGTCTTCTGCGCTTTTGCGTTTTGTAATTGCAGTTATTTGGCCCACGACGCGCATTAAAAAAGCAAACATCAGCGGGGCGCAAAAAATAAATGCTCCTAAATTGCGTAAGTTCATATTAAATGCATATATTTAATTTAATTTGTATTTGTATTGCATTTAAATTTGCCAAAGCAGCGCTGCAAATGAAGTGAAAATGTGTTGCAAGTCCGTAATTGCAGAGGATTTTTCAATTGCTGCCGGCTAAAATTATAGGCTAAGGTTGATATGTTTGAGAAATCACTTATGCACTGCAGTTTAATTGAAATTTAATTGATTAAAGCATGTGCAAAATATTTTTGAAGAAGTGTTAGTGCAAAAGAAAATTGATTTCATTTTCAATGGCTTAGCTGCAGCGTTTATCCATCGAAAAACTGTTCGAAAATAAAGGAGTATTTCAAAAATAATAAAATATATGTTTTTACCCATTCCCACGCTGCCACGAAGCCCGCAATATTTTCGCATTATTTTAATGGGTTTTATTTATTTTTTTTGGCAATTTAAAATCGATGTTTCCCAAGAAAACACTCCATTTGATGCTGGCGGCAATAAAATCCTTTCTATTGAGAATTCAAAAAATACGTTACGAGATTGTGCAGAATTTGTAGCAAAAGTACTTTCAAGAGGTTAAATGTCACTTAAGCGGATTCGATTTTCATTTTTTTCGCACCCTGGCATTTTTTCGGGCAATTACTTGCTGTTTTTTACAGAAATTTTGAGCGCGCAAAGTAAATGGGAATTTTAATGGCAGCTGCTCATGGCGCAAAAAAGGGGTGGAAAAGGGGCTCACATCAAATGTGGGCATGGCTCTAAAATCAAAGACAAAAAAATCATAAAACTATATACACATGCATTTTCAACCCTATTTTGCATGAAAGTGAATGATAAGCAAAAAACAAAGTTATGAAACTGCCGAGGGCCAATAAAAAAGTGTTTGGTATAATGAAAACTGGAATGGGGGCCATGTATCGGCGGAGATATCATTGTGCTCATCACGAAAAATGAAAATCGAAATCAGCGCGTGCGGAGCAAAAGGATGCGCCTTTCGCTCGAGTCCTTTGCCCAAGCGTGCTGCGCATGCGCGCCTTGTTTGTTATTGTGCCCGTTGTGTAACCCAATCCTGGGATTCCTGCAAGGGTTAGAGGACGGGGACGAGGACGAGGAACCCGCTCTAAAACTGTTTCGAGTGAGTCGAGCTGGTATTTGCTGAAAACTGAGATTGTTTTGTCGTCGCAGCTCAATGTGGCGGAACTTGCAGCTTCCAATGGCAAGGGCATCGCATTTATCATCATTAAAGGCGGTTCGGTTTGGTTCGGTTTGGTACGGCACACGCATATCGCCGTCGATCGAATATCCTGCGTCGAGGTCCTTTCACTTTTGGGCCAAAGGATTGCGGCCACTGCGGGTCGCAGCTGCTGTCGCTGTATTTGTTTGGAAATTAAATTTGACATGCAAACATTTTCACAAAATTTCCCCCTTTTCGCTTGGGGACACCCCCTGCATGTCCTGCGAAAGGATTTCGGCGTTGCTGGCATTCAATTCAAATTCGAGCTGTCGCCGCTGACTTCCTCTTGTAATACGATACAGCAGTGAAAGTAATTTGCGACAAATTTCCACATTTTCCATTGCCAATGGCATGGGCAAACACACACAAAAGTGAAAGCCATGCAAATGCCTCAACAGATGTTTTTCAGCTTGGAAAATGATTTTCGTCTGGCTCTGCGCCGACAAAAAAATTTGTTGGCTTAAAATGTTAACAAGCGAAATTAATGAGCCCTGCAACATGAACGGGAAAATTAAATTTACGTTTCCATTTTCCTGCAATTCTTTCTTTTCAAAGCAAAAACTTGATTATTTATATGCTTAGGTTAGATAGTGTTAAGTGAATAATTATGGGTTTGTCGAGAGGGGAGTGGCTGTGATTTCAGTGAACGGAAATTATGATTCATAACGTTGGCAGTAGTAATTAACCAAATTGACCTCCCCTTTGCAAATTAAAAAGGCTACCTTTAATATTAAAAAATTATTTAAATTAGTATAACGAGTCATGCTTAATATTGTATAAACGTTTTCCTCAGAGCATTTATTTACTTAACTATACACACGGATCATATCAACCTGTCTGCATGAAATGGCACTTTCCTGCTTATGAGTAAATCCGTAGAAGAATACCCTTGAAAGATGTCCCATTTAGGAACCCTCACAAACACTTTCCCATGCAAATTTTCCCTTAAGGTGATTTTGCATAAGATTGAGCTGGAAAACAACCCTAAGAAGTCTGGGAACATTTCGTGGGATCCATGGGATGAGGCAATCTCACCTGCGAGTGCGTGGAAAATTGCAAAGCCAGGTAGTTGGGACGCAAGGACGACTTTCACTGCATTGCCTTCCACTTGAACGGATATTGCTCTAAGGAGTACGAAGGACGAAAGGATCCGAAACTCATTTCGCATTATCCTATTGATGGGCACTCATTATTATTTATTATTTCTCCTCTTTGAATATGCAGCAAGGTGCGTTCTGGGACGTGGGAATGTAAACAAGTCGCCTGTCTTGGGGGAGTTTTCTTCTGATTTTGTGTTATTTTATTTTGATCTTTTTTTTTGCAATAGATTTTCCTTCAATAGTCTGCTCGCGGCACTTGCTGTGCCATCCACAAATTAAACGAAATTTAATTGTATTTCGGGGCAGAATAATGATGCAGGAAGGATACCCTTCCTCCAAGATGATTCCCATCTTTTTGATGTTTTTGGTTCCCATTTTTTCCTGCCCGAACGGATATTGAGCGAATGAATTTATTTGATTGTCTGGGGCAGTCGGTCAATGCTGCAATTGGGAAATGGGGAACACGGAAGTGCACATGTACATAAATCAAACGATGGGCAATTGTCGGGTATGAAAGGGAAATGCAGGTGTGCTGGCCGCCAAAGAAATGGCTAATATACTGGGTTCGGAAATCAGCAAATTGATCGTCGATGGATGTCAAAATAAATCAAGTTACCAATTCCTTTTTTTGTTTTATCTTTGAGAGTACGTTGATTAACTTGATTCAGGCTCTTAGAGCATTCAACTGTCTAAAAGTCAGCTGGCTGTCTTTGTACGCGCAATATGCACAAACATTTTGCCCCACATTAGTCATGGTAATTGCCAGCAATAATTGCAATAACAATTAGTACAATTATTGCAATTTACTTGGCTCGTGCATTTGTATGTGAATGTGCATTGGTGTACATGAGTTTCTGTAATTTCCAATTTGCAAAAACCAAACTCATTATTTTTTGCGCACTTTTCAAAATCGAAGTAAGGCGGCAAACTATTTGAATTTCATTACAATCGCCTTGCTTCAAGCTATCTAAATAAATTTCAAGTATTTCCATTTCGCTTTGTTAGTTGCTTTGGTTTTTCGCACTTTTTTTCGCCCGCTAAGCACGCAATATTTTCTGCCCTCTCCATATGCCGCGAATTACCATATCTTTATTCAAAAAAAAGAAAGAAACTCGTTGCACTTCATAAATTTTTTAACTGGCTGTGGCAGCAGAACTCCCTAATTAGCTTTACAGTTTTACTGGGGATGCGTGCCACAGTCAAGCCGACTAAAAAAACAAGACAATAAGGCAAAAAGGCAAAAACAAAGCGAAAAATCATTGAAAAATGCTTTCAACTTTGCCGCTGCTGAAATGTGGCAGCTGAAGATCAAAGCCAAGGATCAGAAATCTCGGCTCTGTTCTTGTCTTGTTATGATGATTTCTTGGGCTGTCTTCCCATCTCGTCTCAGTTAGCCAATCCATCCGTCCATCCAGCCAATCCATCCAGCCAATCCATTCATAATAATGCGAAATCGGCAACTAAAGTTAAGGAAATCAAAAGCGGCAGCGAAAAAGACTCCAGAGGGGGGTAAAGGCAAAAAATTTGCTCGGCTTGAAACAAAAGCCGCTAAACAAGTCCGTTTCGAGGCCCCTGGCACCATTTGCTGATCTGCTGACAGCGTTAAACGAGCTACAATAAAAAAATTTCTTAACTTTAGTTGACATTCACTTGGACAGGCCGATCTGCTGAACAAATCCCAGGCTGTCTCTAAGCTTTGATTAAAAACAAATTGACATTGAAATTGTTTGAAAAAGTATAGAGATGTCACTGAAGGGTAAACTAGAAGGATCATCACTGGGTTTTATTGCTTAAAACGTCAGCTCTTTTTGAATTCAGCAAAT